GCAGCGTAGACGCAGTAGTAGTAGTCGTAGTAGTAGCGGCAGTAGTAGCAGTAGCAGTAGCAGTAGCAGTCGTCGTAGTAGTAGTAGTAGTAGTAGTAGTAGTAGTAGTAGTAAGTAGTAGTAGTAGTAGCAGCAGTAGTAGTAGTAGTAGTAGTAGTAGTAGTAGTACTAGTACTAGTATTAGTAGTAGTAGTTGTCGTAGTAGTCGTAGTAGTAGTAGTAGTAGTAGTAGTAGTAGTGGTAGTAGTAGTAGTAGTAGTAGTAGTAATAGTAGATGATAGCCGTAGAAGTAGTAGCAGTTGCAGTGGTAGCAGTAGCACTAGTGGTGGTAGTAGTAGTAGTCGTCGTAGTAGTGGTAATAGTAGTAGTAGTAGTAATAGTAGTAGTAGTAGTAGTAGTAGTAGTAGTAGTAGTCGAGTAGTAGTAGCAGTAGGAATCGTCGCAGCAGAACTTGCGCTAGACACTGGCACACACAGCGGCATTATGCTTGCAACGCTGGTGTCGGGAGGGGAGATCGACAGGCCCGTGTCGAAGCCGATTTTGCAGTCCATCTGCGATCATGAGGCGAACGCTTCAAGCCTGCCCTGGCGTGTCTCTCTGTGTCCTTATTGTATCAGTGTTTTTGTCATCTGTGTTGTGTCTGTGTTTGTGTCTCTCGCTCTTTGTCTCTCTCTATATCTCTCTCTCTCTCTCTCTCTCTCTCTCTCTGTTTTTCTTAGTGTTCGGGGAGGGATGGGGCGTGCCAGGCAGGGCTTGCTTGTCATTGGACTTTGCTTTGCAAGTTCAGGTAAACTAAGAGGGGACGGATTTGGGCTCCGAGCAGCCTGGGTGAGAAGAATCTGGGGTTTCACACTTGGAGCCAGGTCGGGACGCACCTCCTTCGCATGATGAACGACGAGCACCAGGCTGATAATGTGGGGGAGAGGTCAGTCACGCGAATCCCGAGTCTAATTCTTCAGGACTTGAATAGTCGGCTATTCGGAGGTAATTTGGGGAGACTCTTGGTTTCGAAGATCGGCCTTGCGGCGTCGCAGTCCTAGGCACTAGTTCCTGTTTAGAGTCTCCGTACAGAGAATGGTCTGTTGGAGGATCATTCTTAAACGTTACACGTCAAGTTTAACCCCGAAGCCCGCGAATCCTACGCCTTAAGCTGCGCAGCGATGGAACCAAAACATCCACATGCCTTTTCAAGGTGTGGCACGGCTGCCGCGATCGGTATAAGCTCCAGCGCCTCCGCGAGGGAATCAAGTTGCCGCATGTTGTGCTACTCACAGATGAAGTCAGATGATCACACTACTGGAAGCTTCGGACGAGATGCCCCTAATTCTAAGAGCAATGTTGGACCAGACCAATCCAAAATCCCCTGTGAAGCAGAGTTGAGAGGTGAAGAGGGTGTAGCGGTTTCGTGTTCAGAGATTGATCTTTACCTGGCCTCCGGTCACAAGCCCTCGCCAGGAATCCTTGGATTACAGAGGAGGGCTTTGCCACTCTCAACACGTGCTCCTGACTCTTTTGAAGTTAAGTTCAGGCTGTGAGGAAGCGCAAGGATTCGGGCTTCGGACTCCTTGATTCTGCAAACCATGCTCGGCCACGATACGACGAAAGCTCCTTCTGGGCTCGAGCCAGTAGCGCAAGTGGCTTGCTGCAGAGTCGGAATCTTTGAGCTGATAACGTAAGCCCAAAAGCGCTGTTGAAAAGAAAGCCCATCTACCATTGCGAAGCTTATCATCGCGCTTCCTCGGATGCGACGTTTCGCCGAGTCCAAGACATGTGCGATATGCAGCTTCGCATTTAAACCAAGTGCCGGAATCACAAGACTATTGAAGCGTCGTGGCCTATGATCTCTCGGTACCCTGGCACCTCAATCATGAGCCTCACAGATCCATATTTGAGCCTTACAAGCCGCAAGCCTGGACTAACTTGGAGATGCCATGAAGCACAGAGCTCCTTTGCTCCTCCTGCTGGGAATGGGCACCACGCTCGTGGAAGTCGAGCGAAAGTTTCTGGCGCCCTCGGGTTTGGCTAAGAAGGCCGGGCTCTACGAGTTTAGGGTTTTAGGCTTCACGAACTGAGCGAACGAAGGTTCATGTTTAAGGTTTGGTGCTTCAGGTTTCAGGGTTGAGCGGTTTAGATTCATTCAGGGTGTAGCTTGTTGAGGTGTCAGTGTTCGGGGCTTTGGGTTCAGGGGTAATGTTGCAGAGGCTATAGGACTTCAGGTTCAGGTGCGGTATTGCAGAAAGTGTGGAGTTTGCGCGTTGCATGTTGCCGGCAGCTCGCACGGGTCCAAAACTCATGTCGCAAGGATTTGCGGATACAGCCGTAGCCAGTTGAAGGAGAGCATGTTGGATTCAGGTTTCGAGATTTAGTGGTCAGACCGTTTTGTGAGTTCAGGGCCAGGGTCTTGGGGGCTGGCGTTCTTAAAGGCTTCGCGCATGGACGTGAGGCAGGTTGGTCAAGTTTGCCGAAGCCAGTGGCTAGTGCTCAATGGCAAAGCACGAAGCCGTCTCGGCTTTGAACTGTGAGGTTGCCGGACTCGGTGGGAAGTGCTTAGGAGCTTCTCGGCATGCATACGATGCTGAATAGCATACGGACTTGCGTGTTGCAGGTGTTGGGGCTTACATCCCGTGTAGTGCTCCATCGTGTTGCGATATTGGTGTGTTTTGGGGTTGAGGCCATGACCTTCGAAGCGACATGGAAGGGTGACTGTCTCATCGCACGGTCCTGGGAACTGGCACCGGGGAACGGAAACCTCATGCAAAGCAAACCCCATCTGATTCATCTGGTTCGAGGGACTGGAGCCGATGTCTGCACATGCACAAGCCGTCAGCCTTGCCTCACCCGAAACAATCTCCTTTCCCTAAGCCATGGGCCCAGACCCCTGAGCGCCTTGTGCCCCAGCACGCTTCACAAACCTGAGCTCAAAGACTCATTCCGAAAGCTCTGGCCCGAACCGGGCGACGAGGTCAAAGAATTTACCGATCGCTACTGGGATGACAACCGCTGGCGACTCTGTTCCCAGGAGCATAGGGAGTCTTTCATCAAGGTTCAGCTTCAGGGTGCTCTAAACGAGAGCTTGTCCAAAGCAGACGCGCAGGTCGGCAGCTTCGCACCGAATGGAGACGATGTTACCTTTTCCCGATATATGGTTCTGCCACCGCTGATAGCTTTTTGTGTTGGTGGGTGGGGGGGTGGGGGAGCGAGGGGCGGGGATGGGGCGGTTTGCGGAGGGGGCGGCGCATAGTAATGTTGACGCCTACAATGGCGCACTTACGACAATACGTATACGACACCAGCAGATGCACTCGACACCGCAAAAAGCGTTATCGTGCCTTCATCCAAGCGGTGACGAGGACTTGTGGCTACGGCAGCGAGATGGAGCTTGGGAGTTGTGGCTGGGCTGGCTGAGTGCTCTAAGACTTTGCTTGCCGGAAGTTATTTTCTTTGCTTTTCGTGCTGTTGGCGATTCCATGGTTCTAGTCATTGTAGTTGCTAGTGAATCTAGATTTAGTACTACTGATTCCCACCGATTATGGCAACTTGGTCTTCGGTTTGAATTGGGTATTGCCTTCGTGTGCTTTAGTGCTGAGACATTCAGAGTGTTGGCAAGCTCCGATTTCCATGAATAAATATTTTTATGATTTCGATACGGTTTTGATATGATTTCAGGAATCCTTCCGGCTACGATTTTCTTATGATTTTCTTATGGTTCACGGTTTGGATACGGTTCGGATACGG